CCTGGGCTCAAGCGAGTCTCCTGCCTCCGCCTCCCAAGTAGCTGGGACCACAGGCACCCGCCACAACATCTGGCTATTTTTTGGTTGCAGCCCTCATTGTTGTTTGGTGGGTCCGGGCTGGATTCGAACCCACCACCTTAGGTGTACGTGGCTGGCACCTTAGCCGGTTGAGCTATAGGCGCCGAGCCCTTAGTTTTACTTGTAATGAGATATTTTAGAATATTTAATCTGATCGAACTACTTGCTTCCATATTGAAATCCATAATACTTCCAAAAATATGTTTGCAAGAAGTTCATAGGACATAACAGGTTTATCAGGGCCTTTTTGTTGTGCCTTTTTTTGTTTTCTTTTTTTTGTAGAGACAGAGTTTTACTTTGTCAACCTCAGTAGAGTGCCATGGCGTCACACAGTGCCCAGCAACCTCCAACTCCAGGAGTCCTCAAAGTACACCCGCAGGCCACATGCGGCCGCCTAGGACATTTATCTGGCCCTCCGGGTGTTTTTGCCACAGCTGTTTGTCCTGCTTAGTAGCCGACTTGCCCCGGGGCCTCAGTCTGGCCCTCCATCAGTCTGAGGGACAATGAACTGGACCCCTGGAGGCGATTCTCTTGCCTCAGCCTCCTGAGTAGCTGGACCTACAGGCGCCCACCACAACACCCGGCTAGTTTTTGTTGCAGTTTGGCCAGGGCTGGGTTTGAACCCGCCACCCTCGGTATATGGGGCCAGCGCCCTACCCACAGGCGCTGCCCCCTCATCCTCTTCTGTTGCTTCCTACTCTCTGACTCCTTCCTTTTGTTTTTCTTTGTTTCCTTTGCTCTCTACCCATTCTTTTTTGGTAGTTTTCCATTATTTTTATTCCACTTCTTTTGTTCCTTTTTCTTTTCTAGTTTCTCCTTATACATAGTGTATACCCACATTTTCCATGTATTTTTTTATCTTTTTTTTTTAAACTATTTTATTTTCTCTGATTGTCTGCCTTTCTGCTTATTTATACCAGGTTTCTTATAATAAATACATGATTCAAAGAGAATGTGCTATATACACATTTTGCCCCTAAGTAAGGCTAAAATTGTTAGATAATGCCTAAAGCCATCTTTTGTAACAGTTATAAGTATAAGGTAGTAACTACTGTGCATTGGTGGTGGCACTCTGTCATGGACCTTGGACTAACAGTGTGGGCCTTTTTTAGTGCATGGTAGAAACCAATCAGACAACATATTCCTCACTGAGGAAAATGTAAGTATCTATTAAAATAAGGAAACGAACTTGTAAACAGTCCTCTCTACTTGATACATAAACAAAAAGAAATCTTTGGGACACAAAGTAAAGAAATAGCATATATATTTTGTAAATTAATTTTATCATGTATGAAGAAGTCACAGCACTCTACCAGGGTGGCAGAGTGAGACTCTGTCTCAAAATAAATAAAGAGTATAATGAACACCCAAAATACTCATCCTAGATTTAACAATTTTCAATGTATTGCCCATGTCTTTTCATTCAACAACCCCTTTTTGGTTTCTGAAAAAAAATTTTTTTTGAGGCAGAGCCTCATGATGTTGTCCTCAGTAGAATGCCATGGCATCACAGCAACCTTGAACTCTTGGGCTTACGCGATGCTCTTGCCTCAGCCTCCCAGTAGCTGGGACTATAGGCGCCCACCACAATGCACAGCTATTTTTGTTGTTGTTGTTGCAGTTGTTGTTTAGCAGGCCCGGTGCTATGTTTGAACCCACCAGTCTCAGTGCATGTGACTGGCGCCGTAACCACTGTGCTACACACACTGAGCCTGTTCCTGAATTTTTTTTTTTTGAGACACAGTCTCACTATGTCTCCTTCAGTAGAGTGCTATGGCATCACAGCTCACAGCAATCTCAAACTCTTTGGGCTTAAGTGATTCTCTTGCCTCAGCCTCGCAAGTATCTGGGACCACAGGCATCTGCCACAATGCCTGGTTATTTTTTGGTTGCAGTTGTCATTGATGTTTAGCTGGCCCAGGCTGGGTTCAAAACTTCCCCCCTTGGTGCATATGGTTGGTGCCATAACCACTGTGCTATGGGCACTGCCCAGAAATTTTTTAAACTTCATGTCATTTCATTCCTATATACTTAATCTGGATCTCTTTTTTTAAAAAATAAAATCATTGTTCATATCTACATACAATGCCATTGGCTTTATAAATATGAATTTTCTCAGGATATTTGGTTATCTTCAGGATAATAACTTAATAATGGACTTGGTGGAAAATAAAAGAACAGATAGAACAGATACTATTTCCCATGAATAATCTGAGTACTGAAGGAGTTTTTCTTTTGGGAGACTACTTCAGGAGAGTTTGCTGGAATACAGACTACTATAGCTACTTATTTTTTGTATTTCAGACGATGTACAAGAAGCTTATAATTTAATTAAGGATCTGGAACCTACTACCCCTCAGGTAATTGAGAATGTTTTACATTTTTACTAACAAAGTTCAGTTGAAAGTGAAACTGTGGAAATATAACTGGGAGGCATATTAGAGAAATTTCCTGCTTATAGAATTCTAGGAAAGACTGTATATGTCAATCTAGCAATGTTATCTGAGACTTTTGATAAGAGAATAAATGTTCTGGCCTGTTTGCAAGTTATCTGATAATTCCACATTCCTCTTAAACTGATCAGTGTTATTCCATGTTTCTAGGAGTATATCCTCAAAGGAGTGGTAAATGCAGCTCTTGGCCAGGAAATGGGTTCAGTGAGTATGAAATCACCAGTAATCTCTGGTTTGCACAATTGCAGGTCTATGTAAAAGATCAAAGTAAATATCAAAATGTAACCAGCAATAGGCTTTTCTGTAGTTTATTTTATTTCTCTGTATGCTCCAATCCAGACTTCACTATCAGAATTGTATATTATTTAGAAACAAAAAGAAGCTTTAACCCTAAAAATTTCTACTTTGTGTAAAAGCCCAATTTTTTAAATTGTTTTTATTTTAGAACAAGTAAAAGAATTATTATTATTTTTTGAGACAAAAAACTGTCCCCCTGGGTAGAGTGCTGTGGCATCACAGCTCACAGCAGCCTTCAACTCCTGGGCTCAAGCGAGTCTCCTGCCTCAGCCTCCCAAGTAG